ATATTTTTATTATCACAGCATGGCAACTCTAAACTCGTTTGTTTCCCTCTCGCCGCGGCTGCTCATCAGACGGATGCGCCTTGCCGCATTAGTGACGATTATGGCTGCTTGCAACTCAGCGCCGTTGTCGGCGTCATCATCATTGTCACCGTCTTCCTTGTGCGTCGGAATTGATTGCACGCCGGCAATGTCAATATCATCGATGCTGTTGCAAGCTGATGATGCTTTTCCGGCATTGAAAACATTACGGCTGCCGGGGCTGTGCGCTCTGCCGCGCTGTTTGCTTACTCATTGCCGTTTGAGAAGAAAATGTAAAATGCGAAAAATTGCAGTTGTTGCCTTTTCTGTTGCAGTCACAAGATTATACACGGCTTGTTGTTTTTGTTTTACGTTTTTTTTTTGCGCATGCAGAAAAATCATTGATATTAATGTCCGCTGTGTAAATGATGAGACAAGCGAAAGAGATGTTGATTCAATTGGTGTTGTCTTGCGATGCTTTTTGTACCCAACGAAAGTGTTCTGTTCAGATGTTGATAGGTCCTAGAAGGCGGCGATTTCTTAACGGTTTAAACAGCAGAATCAGTAATGAAACCGTGTTGTTTTAGTATAATCCTGCCTAGATGCATATATATTGTGAAGTTGAAAATTTTCTGGCCTAAAAATCAGTTCCACTTTCTACTTTGTACAGAGAAGGCCGCTTTCTACCAATACTCTGTTTAGCAGAATATTATATATGAAATTTTCTTTAGTCGTTCTTCGGACGAAGTAAATTTTTTAGCGTTGTTATTGGATTTTAACTCATTAAATCGTGTCAGTATTGCCAGCGCTTAAGCTTAAAGGCCCACTAAAGCTCCCGGAAGCTTCTTCCTTAGCTTATTCAAAAAACTTTTCCTACAACCTTGTCGCATTGCTTACATTTGAAGATCTTATCGAAGGTGTATTTTGGATATAAACATGCTAAAAAAGGCTTTCATATAGAAAGAGTTTTCTTGTAAGCTTTTCTAGTAAAAACCAAAAAAAAAAAACTGTTTACCGCGGTTGCAGCGAAGCTACAATATCCTTTAGAAACAAAAAAGTTTCCATACAAGAATTTAGTTTTGATCATTCAGTTTGCATGACAGCTACATGCTTTAATAGTTTGATTTTAAAAAATTTATTCGGAGCTTACACTGCTGCCTTAAACAATAACCCTTGCCGAATCTCGTTAATATATCTTGGCAAATAAAAAAGTTTTTCCTTTAAGAACTTGATTTTGATCGTTCAATTTGTATGGCAGCTACATGCTATAGTGGGCCAAAATCGGCGTTTCCGACAAATGAGCAGCTACTTGGAGAGATAAGAATGTGTGCAAAATTTTGGATCAATATCTCAAAAACTGAGGAACTAGCTCGCGTTCAATACAGCTCGTCACGCAGATATTTTATATAAATATTTATTTTATAAGGTTTCCGACGTTTGCTTTAGGGTGTTGTATAGTTACTTCTTGGCAACCTTCATATGTCCTATTCAGGGTATAAATATAATGGTCTAAATAATACAATCTCGTTTGCCCAACCAATATATATATAGGTTCTAAGGATTATTAAAAATGTGACTCCTTCGGATAAGAGGATCGTTTAAAGTTCGAGCCAGAAACCGAACAAACTTTTTGACTACATAAAAATCTTAAAATAGTTATTGGTTGCCGCCATAAACTATATGCTCCCTAACACATTGGAAAATTACAACTAGATTAACCAGAAGTAAAGGGATGTATAGCTTATCTCAGTATTGGAAGCTTCTGTAAGTGATCGCAACTGCCAGTATTGTTTTCTCTGACATATTTCATAGCACATTTAAAACGCGTTGGCTCACCATTCCTAATATCTGCAACGATTGCTGCCGATTTTGCAATTGTTCTAAATGATTTTTTCCGAATGAGTTTCTCATTTCTACCATAGACTTCAAAGTAAGGCATCTGTCCTATTTTAGATAAGAGAAGAGTCAAAGACAAATGCTGCGAAACTTGGAGTTTTCAAAGGAGTTCGAAGACACACTATCTTACATACACACAAATGCCACGGTGTACCATCATTATTTGCTTCAATACATTTTCGCAATAATTTCGCAATTACGCTTCAATGAAAGCGCAAACGGATATGTAATGATAGCGAAATACACAAACAATTGCCGAGTAATGCCAGCGACAACCTTGAGAAAACTATTGTTAAGTGCAAGAGTAGGTTGCAGCTATGCAACAAGAACAATGACAATTACTACAACAAATGATACAACAACAGCAACAAGTAGACACTCGAGCTGATGACATCCGGCGTTGCTGTCACAAGCGACTAGAAGAAGTATGCTACACAGCACAAGCAATCGAATGCGTGTGTCTTGGCAGTCGAAGTGAGTGAAAGAAAGATAAGTGAAAAGAAAAACTATCAACGGAAGGTATAAATTGCTAAGCAATCGGCAGCGGAAAGTGTTGCCAGAAGACAAGCACACTTACGCTGAACGCGCGCGTGCTGCAACACAGCGTACTAAACTGAGTTTTCGGTGCAGAGCTGTAAGTGTTGCATATGATGTTGCATGTGGCAACAACGCTCTGCTACCTCTTTAGTGCTTAAATTATTTCGCCAGTGTCCTTTTTGTCGCTGCCGCGGGCAGTTGTTGCCACCCTTCTAACACCAACAACACACAGCATAAGTTCGCCCACCGTGTGGTATACGTAATGCGCTCACTCATGCTGCGCTCAACTACTTGCCGCTTCGCTCTGCTGGCAGTCAGCTCGTGCGTTTAACTTCTTCATTAATTTATTTATGTGAATTGCACGTGCGATGTTGCACTCAATTGGAAGTGAAAAATAATGTCCCAAAGGCAATGAGCGCGTGCTGCGGAAGGATGCGCACAAGGTTGCTGGCAGCTAGCTGCTATTAGTGTGCTTGCTTCTGGCGCGCTGCACGCGCGTCTATCCGCTGGTTCGCAGGTAAAGTTGTCGCACATTAGCAGCGCATAGTTGGTGGTCCTTAACGCAACAAATTGGTGCTTTAAGTTGAGCGCGCACCTGTTGCAAGAATATATTTCCTGTCCTTGCTATTCTGTAGCGTTTTTACGAAACTGGAGGAAGGAAAGTGTTGCTCGTTAAAGCAGCATTGTAACGCTTTTAGTGTATCCGTGGGAAGTGAGTTGAAAGAAGCTAATTTTTAGGTGGAAATACGTGTGTTCAGTCATTATTTTGTTTATTTTTATAGTGGGTATGTTATATATTTTAAATTGAGAAATTCTAAAATTATTGCTTTCTTCTAATTTTTTGTAATTTTTTGTAATTTCTAACAAAATCGTCTTATGATTTAGACTACAATTCAAATTGCATCGGAATTATTAATGGAATAAATAATTAGAATATCAGCATACTTTGAGTAAATGTCTGTCGAATTGTAAGGAAGATTATAGCACGAACTTTTATAGTGTTTCACAAGTTCAGTTAAGCTACACAGCAATATAACTATGTGAGCAGTCCATATATCGATGAGGCTTAACTCGTAACAACATATCCTATTTTAATTTTGGTTGTTACAGCAATTTATTTTTATAAAATTATTGACTTTAAAGCATTTTGTTTGCTATTAGTAAAATGAATCTGTGAAACTTAAGCTATTAAACATTTTATAAGATAGGAGCTAATTAAATGTTCCACAAGTTCAATACGATTTTTTATCGAGAGAGAGAGTAGTGAGCGAGTTGAGTAAACTGCAAAAACTTTGTTTAAAGTTTACAGTTTGTTGTTTTATTAATTTCATTGCTGATATGGCTGTTAAGGGTGTACAAATGACCGTCTGGTCCTACATTTTCTTGGAAATTCTAACTTCCAGAAATTCTTACGCTTGCCTTTTTAAAGTAAGTAAGCCAAAACTTTTAGGATCATTTCACAGAGACATGGTCATTTAATAACAATCAAATGTACTAAATAGAATATGATTCTTGTAGCCAATTTCTAATTAATGGCGTTTTATGGGCGTAGCAGAAGTCAGATTACGCCCATCTATGAACCTCATCCTTACTTTTTTGCCAAGAAACAGTGTACAAAGTTTCATTACGTTATCTCACTTTTTACTCACGTTACAGCTTGCATGGACGGACGGACCAACAGACGGACAGACAGACATTCACTCGGAATTCAACTCGTTTTGTCATCCTGATCATTTATATAAATGTATTTAGACTTATACCTAACTCGATTATTTCTACGTGATACAAACAATCGTTAGGCGAATAAAACTATTGTACTCTGTAGCAACATATTGCAAGAGTATAAATACCCAGATTCGGTTGGATGAAGAGAGAACAAGATTTATTTGCTTATGATGAGGACTTTAATGTTAGCACACTCTGAAATTTCTGAGATTTATTAGACGAGTTTTCGAATTCATTTGTTTGTACGAAATATATATCTTGGGTGAAGCTTTTGCAATACAAGTCAGACTTGACGTCATCGAATAATTTGCAATTAAAGTTAAATTATCAGTACTGATGGCGACATTAAGTTAAGCATTTCACAACGTAATACGTTTATAATTACGACGAATTTTTGAGCAGTAAACGAAATCGAATTTGTTTGTGGCAAGAATATTGGAAATGCATATCTGCGCTGTGCCACACAGGCGCACGCTTTACATATGCAATTGTCTGCTCATTGAATTAAGTCGACATTAATGCATTTGCGCATCAACATTTGGAAATCCCTGCCAACGTCACTGCTCCTTTGTATTGTCTTTTGCTACTGCGGCGCTCAGACGGCGCGCTATCAAGGCGCAGGTGAGTCATGCATTTTAATGAATTTGCCAATTAATTCATTTGCATACAATGCAGATGCTTTGCATATTTGCACACGTAATACTTTACCCACACATCTGACAATCATATCAGTTGAATAATACACATCTTATATTCATATGCACTCAATTGACACTGTCTCTCACGCAGCATGACAGCGTGGCGTTCGCTTTAACACCGCCCATATGACATTTAACCACGCCTATGTGTATAATGTCACCACCGACCTAACAGGTGATACCCTGAATATCGAGATGTGGCTGCGGAAAGATGTGATACCGGGCTTCATGTCCAAACTTGATATACTTATCAGTCTTTCGGCGAATAAGAAGCGCTTCCAAAGCATATTCTCCTACAATGTGGACATTTGCGGGCTAATGAATAACTTGTCGCGCATTATTTTGATGCGTGGTTGGATGTTAAATGTAACTAAGCATAGTAATTTAAAGTCGCACTGTCCCTCGCAAGCGGTATGTGGAATTTTGCTTGGTTTTCGGTAGATTTTTCTGAGTGAAGATTTCGTAAAATTTTTTTTCTTTATGGGTCACTATTATATAAGGAACTTTACGGTCGAGAAAGGCAGCATACCAGTTTATTTCCAAGCAGGCGAATATCGCATTGTTACGCATCATTACTACAAAGTCAAGAAGAACAAGAAAAATATAACAGTGGCTGATTTTAATTTCCATTTGCAGATTGACTGATTTTAAAGGGGATTCAAGGGTGTTTCAAGGCCGTTCTGGTATGTGAACTAAATAAATATTTAACGCTAAGAGAGACCTTCTTTTGTTAGGGATGAAGCTGAAAGTATGAGATTGAGACGCAGATCGTTAACGTGACTGTTTCGGAGTACAGTAGTGGTAGAACTGAAAGCGAGAATGATACTGCGGCTTGTGATTAAAAATTAGGCTTTTAATTAAACTAAGAATAAAATTGAGGACTGGGATACAGCTTACAATGACACTGACATTCATCTAAATATTAAAGTAACACCAAACTGAAAATTTTTCTAGCTCGTGAGTAAGATATTGGAATAAATCCTGAAATTCAAGTTTTGGACTTAGGCTGGAGCAAAGAGAGAAGTAAATACTGGGTATAAAATGCATAACAAAATCAAGGCTGAGACAGAGTGCAGCTGTCACTGTTATTTAGCGCGAAACTGAGGCGAAAGCTGAATACAGCGAAGGGATTTTAATCTTAAAATTAACACGTGAATTTCCACAGAGGATTGGTCTTAGTTTGAAATGTAGCCAGAGTTTGAAATTGAGACAAAAATTAAATTTGCGAGTCAAACTAAGAATGTTTAAGTCTAGAAGAGAAAATACAGGAATGGAAAGCGAAGTTGAGACTAAGTCTATAACTGAGATTGTGGTTGTGAAAGACACAGGAATGGAGACTAAGTCTAAGACTGTGATTGAGGCTGTGAGATAGGAATGGGAAGCGAAGTTGAGGCTAAGCCTAGCGTTGAGATAAAGGCTATTACTGAGAGCAGAATAATACTGAAATTATGACTGAGGTAGAAATGTAGACTGTAGCAATGTAAAAGCAGAATGAAAAAAATTATTATTTTATTGTTTTTTTTCATTCTCTAAATTTCACCAGACACTGGCTTCGAGTTGAAGTTTCAACACGAAATCCATATTTTTCTTTTTATACTGCCCGTTATAAATATATGCAATAATTTTGTAATCACCGGGGTAAAGATATTTAGGAAACAATGCCGGCTCTAATTTCCAACCCTTCAAATAATAGTGATCGGGATGGAATGGACAATTCTCCATAAAATTACCAAACTTCAAAAGGCTGCGATACCAACTCTTCAGCAAGTGATCCTTAAGCGCAATTATGGTGCCACAAACATCGATATCGAAATCAATAAGTGACTGATACACCTTGGAGTTAGCAATACGCAGTTGAAATTCCAAATGACAGCGTACACCGGGGTCCAAACGTTCAATGAGTTGGCAGTCGTTGTAAACCGTGTCATTGATGATGTTGACTGTGAAGTTTGCGAAATAGCGCATGTTGAAGCGGGAATGTGCCGACTTGAAGGACAATTGGGTGATCTGCTGGTGAAGAGAAAGCACAAGTAGAGAGAGAGAGAGAGAGAGATTGTATTAAAAAGTTAAGAGTGACGGTGTGCTTATAGAAACTACTCACGCCACTTGCCAATCGGGTAAGCACGGTAAACAGAAATAAATAATAAATAAAAGTGTATACTTTAAGTCTTGAACTCATTTTGAGGTCTGCGGCAATTTTGAAAGCGGAGGTTAATTTGAAATATTTTGAAAATATAAAATTATAATTGAGTAATCTAAATAATAAATAATAAAAAATAACTTTGAAGTTGTGGAACAATTGAGGCATTTTGTGCCACATATATTAATGAATTTATAATGATGCTATGCAAACAACGGCGGCAGAGTTCAACTTTTACTATTTTACACTTATGAATTAGCTTTAATGCATTAACATTATGGTGGGAAAAATATAATGTAATTTTTTTCGCTTGGTGCTCTGAAAAATTGGCTGATAAACACCACTAAAAAGGGCTCTCCAAGTAAAAGCGCTTAATTGTAACGGGATAATTCTTTCGCCTAACGGCTTATTATTTTTTTTCTTATTATCAGATAGAAAAAAATATATCTCGCTTTTATTTACGTGAAAACATATTCCGTTTTGTGGATTTTTTCTAATGGATTTTTTGTAAGCTCAACCGTTTAGAAGACTTTAACGGTTAAAACTTAATTACTGTAATGTAAGTTTGTTGTTTTATTTTGAATCTTATAACTCAATGAAAAAACATAATTTTAAATTGCAAAGCACATAGTCTTATAGAAAATTTACTGCTCTACAAAAAGCGCATTCAATTTCGACAAAAAATATCTTTTCAAATAGTTTGGAGCGAGTTATGAATTTTTAATAATAAGAAAAAAATAGAACAACCATTAGGCGGAGGACCTTCCCGTTACAATTAAGAGCTCATACGTGGACAACCTTTCTAAAAGGGGTCAATCAACCAATTGTTCAGAGTGCGAAGCAAAAAACAGCATTTCTTTTTTTACCCACCCTAGTAAATATATATGGTATAATAATCATTATGATTGCATTTTTGTAACTAGCCACAAAATACACGCCAATTAAACAATGAATGCCGCATAATTAGAATTAATGAGGCGTAAAAACTAATATTTGCTTAAAAAGATTCGCAAGAGCTATTTGAAAATTATTTTTTGCATTGCAGAAATGTGTTGAAAGCCATGCTCCCGCGCGTGTATCGGAAAAGTCAATTACTTTTTATAGCAGTTTTGTTTTTAGTGCTGCGAGTAGAAAAAAGCAATGAACGGAAGGTGATTACTATTATAACATTGCTAATAAAATTATATTACTATTTATTGAAATTCGCAAATTAAAATAAATTTTTTATTTAAAACTTTTTTTATTTTTAAATATTTTTTTATTTAAAAATTATTTTTGAATTCAAATTGTTTACACTATTTCGTTTTCCAGCAAATCACGGCACTGTACTTTCGCAGCATTGAGATGGAGTTCAACCCGAAGTACGTCGCCAGTCTCTTCAGCAATATTTCTACCGATCGCTCGACCATGAATTTGGCTCTAAATCAGATAAAAAGCGCGCCAGTGGATTACTGGATGAAAGTGTCTGTGTCATATAAACAGCAAGCTTCGAAGAAATATATGTCGCTTTTGTCGTTTAACGTCAATCTGTGCGACTTGTTTCGCAACGAGTTGAATCAGCAGGGCTTGGTGCACTTATGGATGTCGAATATGCTGAAATATAGTAACATGCCGCGCACTTGTCCTTGGAAAGCGGTGAGCTCAGTTTAACTTATATATTTTTTTAATAATTAAGAAAGAGAAAAAATAACGTTTTATCTTTTTAGGGTTTATATCACTGGTATAATTTGCGTCCTGAACCGGACAGTATACCGAAATTTATATCAACTGGCTTATATCGCATAGATTTTATATACTATTTGAAAGCCTTACATAATGATCCATTTACAAACACGTCTATAATTTTCGAATTGCACCGAAATTAAAATAAATACTTTTATCAATATTAATGATATGCATTATTGAAAGAAAATAAAAATTGTTTTTCTCATCAATAAATGTTTCTTGCTCAGTTTTATATTCTGTAAACCAGGTGAGAATTGAATGCACTATTGCAGGTCGAATGAAATATGCTCCCCAATGCATGCTATTGCTTTGAAAGCTATGTATTGTTCACCAAGTAACAAAGTTACGTCATATTTTGAACGATTGCTGATTGATTAAAGATCTCGTTGGGAAAAAGGATTTTTAAGAGTTTTTTCTCAACTCTGAGTTTGATATGAATTTATATTTATGTATATTAATACAATACTCAGGATAAGTGAAGAAGAGGAAGAGCATGAAATAGCGTATACATTAACAATCTATTAAACTGAGCTCCAAGATAATCCAAGGATATATTGGAATATTTATATATTTATTATTCAACACCTAGTGCTCTGGGTTCACTTTGCTTACGTATACAAAACTGTAGTAGGAGAGGACTGAGAAACAGGAGGAAAGAAACATAAAAATATAGCTTTGGATTAGCAATGTGGTTGTTGCACGTTCATAAAATTGAAAGAGAGCGAGCTTGCTGAAAGCTAAAAGTGTGAACGAAAATTACATTTTTAGAAATTAGCTTAAGTTACTGAACCCATTTAGATATTACTATATGGGTAAGCGTTACTCATCTATTGATCTAATGTGTTAAAATGGTGTAAATAATATAATTCTACAGTAAGTTCTTTACTTACTACACCGCTATTATCTGATGCGTGTAAAATGTGTTATTTACAATTACAGTTTAGTTAACTGAGCTCATATCGATTATGTATTGAATTCTCAGTAAATTTAAAATTACTCGCTAATTCAGCAAATCTAAGCCAATTATAAATCGCTTAGCAGAGTCATTATGGACCGTGCTTTAGTATTTTACGCGATATATTATTGCTATTTTCACATTAAACGCTGTTTTAGATTCCTTGTCTAACATAACAGCAGAAATTGTTGTTCCAGCTTTGCCTAACGGAAAGTTGTGCAAAATGAAGGTACTACATGTATTTGTAGCACTCTTCTGGTATTTGAGCTGCAATGAACTGGAAGCCAAATCTGTAAGTTCCTTTTACATATTTTTATTTTTATAAGCTTACTTCTACATGTATTTAGACTTCTTCTTTCTTTTTGTAATAGAAATTGCGCTATCTTTACTACCGCAACATAACTTATACCTTTAATCCGAACCACTTTAAGGCTGTAAATATTTATACCACAGATGGAGCTCAAGCTATACAGGTCGAGATTGCCATATCGCATAATATCACCAAAGATATTTGGTTCGAATTTCTGGTCTCAATGAAACCATTTAATGCGGATAAGTATCAAAATGTTTTCAGTTTTAATTTGAATGGCTGTGCGCTGCTTAAACGTTCCTCGGGACCTGGTGGCTTCGATATTGTAAAAAGATGGGCAACAAATTTATTGAATTCGGGCAGTACACCGCTCTCTTGTCCGGTCTTGAAGGTAGGTTGACAGATATGAATCCTGTGTTCACTTCTGATAAAATGAAATAGTTGATGGAACATGGATTAAAAGGACGAAATTAACAGCGCGTTAGAGTGGCATAGTTATATGCAGTGTGCTCTTTTCAAGCAACTTGAACGCTTAAATGCGGATTACGTAAGATGTCGCGCTTATATCTTCTAATTTATGTGCTTATCTTTGCAGAATAATTATACGTGGACCGTATTTCCCACGAAAAAGTATGGTGTTCATATTCTACAAATGGAAGGATTTTATCGCTTGTTATGCAATGTGTATATCAAACGTCCAAGGCGTATCGAACTAGTGCTAAACACGAGCACTACTTCTGAACTCGTATATAAATACAAATAAGTGGGGTTATGTTCAAGAACAGTGGCAATTATGTACTGTAGTCAAATTAACTTGACAAATATAATTTCAATTAATTTGTATTTGATTTAAATTGATTTTTAATATGTAAATAAACTTAAGCAATTTATATAAATTGATTATGAAATGTGAAAAATGTATGTAAGTATTCTGAATTTGAAATGTTACTGAGAAATTCATTCTATATTTTTGTGGAAATTTATTACCGGAATAAAATATATATTATTTGTAATTATTTTTCCTGTCATTACATCTTGAGTGATCGCTCACCGAATATACATGTTGCGACAATGAGGAGGAAACTGCCGAGAGCACAGCTGTATTTGGAGCAAGGAAAGAGAATAGAATTTTGTCAGCAAATATGTTTTTCTTTGTAGTCAGTACATAAAAAAAAATCCTTTCACACCAACAAAACGGCATCCTAAATGTAGGACAGAAACTTAGTGTAAGTTGTTGCCTATAAGCAGGCGGAAAGTGTTGTCTACATTTAGGCGTTCACATAAAATAAATAATAGTATAATTTTAAATAAAATAGCTATAAAATATTTTCTTAATTATCTAAACGAAGAAGACAAGGATTTCTTTAACTCCGGTTTGTTATTGCAATATTTAAATATGCTTATAAAATTTAGAAAATTTAATACTGCCTACATACACATAATTGATTTTCGCACTCGCAAGTTTTATATGCATGGATAATTGCCAACATTTTTTATTCTTACCCGGAAATATAAAAGCGAAGTTAATTAATAATTAAAAATATTTTTTTTAATATTTACATATAAGTATGATATACTTGTCAATATTTATTGATGAAACATTTCGCTCGCCACAAGCTTTTTGCTTAAAGCATTTTTATTTAATTTCTTGCTACCGGGAAGTTTAAAAGTATTGTGTATTAAGTGAAAGGACATGCGAGACGGAGAAACTCTCTTAAAACAAAAATAAAGAAATCGACAAGCTAAGTCAAAGTCAAAATCACAATCAACTGAGACAGAAAGCTGAAGGCGGAAAGAGATTACGAGTGATTGAAAATAAAAGACAGCGCAGTTAAGCCAAGAAACATGCAATGATAAATAAAGAAGCGAGTGAAAACATGAAGCTTACGTGGCGGTGGGTAGAGGTGCCTGATGTCGCATAAAAAAAAAACCGCAAATAGAGTTGCAACATTTTTGGTAGGCATTGACGCTGCAGGCGCTCATTTGGAATGCAGGACAACGTGTCTATGTTTACATTGCGGATGGAGCGTTTACGCCGTTGTACCGTTGTACGTTGCACGCCAGCAAAACAATCGCCGCTGAATGCCAACGAGCAGCGAATGCTAAAAACAAAAACAACATGTGACCAAAAAATGCATAGCCGAATGCTGAAATAGTTCCGCACGCAAACATACTGATGTCCTAGTCGCATTGCAAAAGCCTTTTATTGTACCGTTTTTCCGCCTTTCCGCTACCCAGACAAGCGATTAGTTGATTTCGTTTGGTCAAGTAGGCGACCAAATGCGATTTACCAAGTCGATAGACACTCGAAAAATAGTTCAGATATACGACAAATGCAGGGGATACATGGTTTAAGCTTTGCATGGTTGTATTGCATATGAGGGGTTGGTAGGCCACAAATAGAACAACAGGACTATATATTGTCATGAGACGAATACACATATACAAGTATATATATGTTTGATTACATTTGAGTTGTGGTTTTCATGCCATTTTACCGAGTTAAATTTTAAAGGGTGCAAAGAAGTGAAGCATAAAATTTGTATTTATTTGAACTCAAAGTGTTCCAGATCGGTCTTTGGAGAGCTGTATGTAAACGTTTACGCTTCGAAGATAAATAATTTTTTTATCAACATATTGAAATCAACACTGGCATTCAATTTGTTTTCACTATTGGACTCTGGAATTCTAAGTAGGTCGAGCCTCTAGCAGCTGTCTTAACAGATTAATTTTATTTATTTAGTTGACAATTGGGAGAGTGTGAGCTTTCAGCTGAGGCAGCAACTAATCCGAATGCGATAGACTACGCCATTAAAGTTTGAGGTAGGAAAGTGGCAATCCATTCCTTAGCATCGACGAAATTTGGCTGAAGCTCTTTGTTAACTCTTTAAGTGACAGACAAATACTTGGTTAGAGAGTTAGTCTAGTTAGCAGAACAGAACCTTAAAGACATATTTGAAATCGTCTAATTTAGTAGTTGACGTTTTACTGTACTAACGATAGACGATGATCCAAAAGAAGTTAAATATTGTGTTTAAATTTTTTTCTTAAATCGGACGACTGGTTGAGATTTCGAAAATTTCGGGAATTGATGAAACCGAAAATCACAAATTTACAAGAGTTTTGTTTCTTGTCAGCAATATTAGAGGTAAAGATTTAGAAACAGTTAACATACGTAGCAGGATAGGTCTTTATATCGTCATAGAGAAATATATGTGAGTAAGCTCTCTCCAGAAGGGGAGTACACCATAGCGCGAAGTATGAGAAAACTTTCAATTGAGAGCAGAGGAGGTATTCAAAGCCATACATCAAGTGTTGCACGAAATCATTGAAGTCATACAAGTGACAATATTATCTTTCTTTATACCGTAACAGCATAGAAATCCATCACTAAATGAGCACCCTTTATTAACACTATTTATATGTGTACTTACTAGGGTGGACCGAAATTTTTTTTTCTTTTTGCTTAGCCCCCCTCAGGTCTTGTAAAATTTGTAGATTATAAAAAAAAAATTTACAAAAACAAAAAAAAAAATTTTAGAAAAACAAAAAAAAAATTGTAACATCTGTGGCGGCCCACTCACTTTTAAAGTAAATTTCGAGTTAAAATTTTTATTTCGTAAAAAATTGTTTATTAGTGTTCTAGAAGCTGTGGAGAATCCTCTTTCTGGCCAATTAAAAGTTATCAACTTAAAAAAAAATTTTGTGCTCATTATTGGAGTTTTAAAAAAAAATCTTAAACGACAACATACTTTGCTCAAGCGTTAAAATAAATTTTGAGTCAAAAACCGTCAAATTCGGTAATTTTTATATAAATGTGAGGAGTTTAAAACAAAAAAAAAATTTTTTGTCCAAAAGTCGAAATTTACTTTAAAAGTGAGATGTTAAAATAAATATTATTTTATTTCCCAAAAAATTTTTTTTTTTATAATTTACAAATTTTCTCCTTTGGCTAAGCAAAAAGAAATGTTTTTTTTCGCATCACCCTAGTACCTATACGTATATGGTATGATGCCTATATGTACATCAATGTGCTTGACTACATGTAAATAGTGTGGCAGTCATGCCCGACGGTTACCACACGCACACGTATATACACGCGCACATACATTTGCACCAAACCAACAATTGCAACTTTCGTTTCCTGCAAATGCCCGAAAAAGCGGCCGGTAGGCATGCCAAACGCAATAAACTCACGTACGATTAAATACCACTACATGCACACATATCTAAGTATGTATGTACATGTGGTAGTTCAGCTATGCGCGTGATGTGGCTTGTGCCTGCAGCAGCATACAAATATGGCGCCTGGCAATTGCAATTCCGATTGCATTCGCATGTATATTTTTACACACATACTTGTATATATGTGTGTTTGTGACAAAATGAATATGTGTGCTTGTTGAAATAAATGTCTTCTTTCTGCTACCTTTAGCTTGACAAATGCGACTTCGCAAGCATTGCCATCGCCTTACTCTCACCCCTTTACCCCCTCCAAGCGCGTTGGTGACATTACAAGCGTTTTGCCGCAACAACTTGCCTTTCCTTTGGTGGCGCTGCTGCCGTTGGCTTTTGACTTTTTCGCTGCTATCTGCGTGCTTGCAACGCTTCTTTGCCTGCTACATGCCTAACTGCGACAAGGCTTGTAAGAATTTTTATGCTTGTTGTTGTTGGCGGTTTTTCTGCTATGCTGATTTTGTTGACTGTCTCGTGGCATTTGCTGCCCTCAGTGCAATATTCAGGTAGGCAGGTATTTTTAGCTGCCGCTTTAAGCCTCACATTCATACACTTATACAGTTGCACACATATACATAAAAAGTTGCATACATTTATACATATTTACATGTTTCTATGCATTTCTATCTCTCTTATTGCATATGTACATTTATTCATGCGTCGCTTCGTCCTTTCGTACGCTTGCAAGCGCATATTTACACTTGACGTTACGTGTCGTTGCTGGTTGCGAAAGGTAAATAGAGAAACGGCTTACATGAATTACTATATATTTACTCATCTATATGTGCATAATAGATGGTGAGTTTCTACACACACACACGTATATATAATATAAATATTTTTTCCTGTCATTTTCTCTTTTTGCAGCTCTTTGCTTTTTGTTTTATTATCCCTTCGCATTTCGCCTTTCAACCACTTTCTTTATTTCTTTATTTATCTTTGTTTTTGTAGGCTATGAAGTTGCATTTGAATTGTCCTAAAAATGAATTGTGGCATGTTAAAGGGTTCAAGCCACACACACAAACACACAAACAAGCGTTGCTCATCTAAATATTTACACGCACACACACAAACCTAACATACCTTTATATGTCTATAGTTACAGCAAAAACATATGACATGTTGCTTTAGCTGGAAATAAAGTCAACAGTGTCATCTGTCTACTAACGCCTTAATTAAATTTTTGCCGTTTAAAGCTGTCGATTTGTGGCGAGGTTTAAAGGATTGTAAGCCAAATTGCACGACAGCATGATATAGTGTGTAAGGAAACTTAAAGCAACAGAAAGGTATTAAATTTTTAAAAATTAGAGTTTTCTTTTATAAGATTGTGGCTTGAGAAATGTAGGTTTGAGTTCCGGATAGAACTTGACTTATATGCTTCTACTAGTATACTGATTAAAAACATGCACCTTATAATATAGCATATATTTTGTTAGAGTCTATATTAGAGTTTGTTAGAAATTATCAAATCATACTAGTTGAGTTTTGTTCGTCAAACCGACTCACCTATCACCCTTCAATATGAGC